CTTTGGATATATACTCAAAAAAGCGGGATTGCTGGATCATAAGGTAGCTATATTTTTAATTTTGGGGGGAATTTCCTTATTGTTTTCCATAATGGCTTTACCAATTACATTCCCACCAACAATGTAAAAGGATCCCCCTTATTTTCATATCCTTGTCAACACTTATCTTTTCACTTTTTTTTTTTTTTTTTTTTGACACAGGCTCTCACTCTCTTGCCCAGGCTAGAGTGCAGTGGCGTGATCACGGCTCACTGCAGCCTCCATCTCCCGGACAGAGGTGATCCTCCCACCTCAGCCTCCCAAGTAGCTGGGACTACAGGCGTGGGCCACCATGCCTGGGTAATTTTTTGTATTATTTTGTAGAGGCAAGGTTTCACCCATATTGCCCAGACTGGTTTCAACTCCTGAGCTAAAGCGATCGGCCCACCTCAGCCCCACAAAGTGCTGGGATTACGGGTGTGAGTCACCGCACCCGGCCATGCTTCTTAAGAAAGGAAAACAGTGGCTCTTCAAAGACTCAAATATAAAATTATTATACGACTCAACAATTCCACTCCTAGGTATATACCCCAAATAACTGAAAAACAGGGACTCAAATGAATTCTTGTATGCCAATGTTTACTGTAGACTATCACAATAGCCACAAGGTGGAAAGGACCCAAGCGTCCAGCAGTAGAGGAATGGGTGAACAAAATGTATCCTATCTATACCGGGGATAATATTCACTTGTAAAAGGAATGAAGTTCCGATGCTGAAACATGGATGAGCCCCAAAAACGTGATGCTAAGTGAAAGATGCCAGACACCAAAGGACAAATACTGCATGATTCCACGTACACGAACCCTCTCTAGAATAGGCAAATTCATACAGACAGAAAGTAGATTCGAGGTTGCCAGGGGCTGGAGGGAGGGGCGGCGGGGAGCTAGTGTTTAATGGGTACGGAGTTTCAGTTTGGGATGATGAAAAAGTTTTGGCGGCAGATAGTGGTGTTGGTTTCACAACACTACGAATGTGATTAGTGCCACATGAACATTTCAAAATGCTTAAAATGGAACGTGTTAGGTTACATGTATTTTACTGTGATAAAAAAAAAGATGCTAAAGTTTTTAATAGGACAAGAAAAGAACAGCTATTACTTATTGGTGGCTTTTCAGGACCACAGCAGTGATCCATGCCAATGCTTTTTTGTTTGTTTGTTTGTTGTTTTTGGTTTTTGAGACAGGGTTTTACTCTGTTGTCCAATTCCTTCCCTACTGTTAGGAAGCCCTGTCTTCCCTAAAGGCCAAGACGCCATGGCAGAAGAGCCTTGGGTTTTCAGAAGCAATCACCACCTCTGTCTCTGCCTGTTGCCCTCCCCGCCCGCCCAGGGGCTGGGTGGGATTGTTCAGTTACCCACCACTGGATGACACCCAGCACATACTGGCAAGGGTGGGCCTTCCTATACACCCGCTGAAAGAATTAACGATGGCTTCCAGTGTCAAGATCACATCACCTAGATTATCTGATAGGCTGTTAAATGCATTCAGCTCAAAGCAGAGAATGTCTCACGTTAAAACGAAGGAAGGAAAGACAGATTGAAAGTATCGATTAATCCAGATTCTGCAGAGCTGGTCTTGTTATTCCGGGGTTAGCAAAACACAGCCCCAGGGCCTATTTTACAGTGTGCAGGAAAAACTGTGCCTCACAAATACCTGTGCCTTTGGGCATAGTCACCTCAATTCCAGGCAATATATTCTCTCTCTCTCTCTCTCTCTCTCTCTCTCTCTCTCTGTGTGTGTGTGTGTGTGTGTGTGTGTGTGTGTGTG